CTCCCCACGAACTCTCGGCGATCTTCCAACGAGCCCTCGGCAATCTTCCGACAAGCCCTCAAGGATCTTTCGATGACCTCTCGGCAATCTTCCAATGAGCTCTCGGCGATCTTCCGACGAGCCTCTAGCGAACTCCCGACGAACTCTCGACGAGCTCACAACACACTTCCGGTACATCGTCCGAATCTTCGACTCCGGCCCATCATCTGTTTTATGTCTTACTGCTATCATAATTAATCCTGCACACTTATCTCAACACATAGATTAGGTCAAACAATTCACAATTGATTTCATCATCAAAATCCGAGATTCAACAATCTCCCCCTTTTTTTATGATAACAATCAATTGATGACGGAGTTAACCTTAACTCCCCCTATCTATATGTCGTACTTGAGAAAAGACATTCTTGAATTCAAGGCTTTTGAATTCAAGCATTAAACCGATAAATTCATAGGTCATGAAGGACCCGATAAGTTCTTCAAACGGAAAGTTATTTTAGGATCCCAACTTTTTGGAAGGAATCTTAATATCTTGTTAACAAGTTCAAAATTAGAAAAACTTTTACCAAGTGCTTTTAGACCATTGATGACATCCGTAAAATGCATGTACATGTCTCCAATAGTCTCGCTTGGTTTCATATGAAACAACTCATAGCTATGAACCAAAAGATTAATTTTTTATTCTTTAACTAAAACGGGTGTACATACCTTCGTGTGTGACTTCAAATATGTGTCAAATCTCATGTGCAGTTTCATATTTGAAACCTGATTAAATTCGTTCTTATCAAGAGCACAAAATAAAGCGTTCATCGCTTTAGCATTCAAAGAGAAAGTCTTTTTTTTCAAATCATTCTATTAATTCATTGGTTTGGAAGACTTTTCAAAATCACTTTCAACAATGTTCCATAAATTGAAATCCATAGAAAGTAAAAATATTTTTATTCTAGTTTTCCAATACGTGTAGTCCGTCCCATTGAACATAGGAGGACGAGTGATAGAAAGACCCTTTTGGTTGCCAACAAAAGTCATCTCTCTTAGGTATTAAACAAAAAAAAGATAAACCTCAATCTGATACCAACTGTTAGGATCAAGTCGATACTAAGAGGGGGGTGAATTAGTGCTTTCAATAAAATGATGTTGATTCGAAGATTCATTCAATAAAGCTTATATCCGAAGAAGCATTTAAACTTGAAAACATTCGTAAGTGATTGAGGGCATTGAGCAAGTAAATCAGTGAGTGGTGAGAATGAAAAACATGAAAGAAATGACACCGAAAGAAAGCACACTGAATTTATAGTGGTTTGGTCGTCGTGACCTACATCTACTTCTGATTCCTTCTACGTTAAGGCCACCGGCGTCCACTAACGGTTTTCCTTCAATGGACAAAAACCAACCACCCTCTTACAATGCTTTCTCCTTTTCACGAGTTTAGGAGACAACCCTTACAAGCCTCACACCTCTCTTGAATGATCACAAAACTAGAAAGGGAGGAGGAGGACACTTAGCAATTTTACAACAAAAAATTTCAAGATTTTGTTCACACTTTCATTGCTCTTTTATGCAGGAAAGAGTGGGGTATTTATAGGCCCCAATAGCTTCAGAAATAGAGTCAAAAAGTGTCTTATCCCGGGTTTATGGGGTATTAGCGGTACCACTACCATTATTGGGCAGTACCACCACCTACAAACTAACACTAGACGATATCACCACCCAGTCTGAGTAGTACGACCGCTTGATGGAGCCTCGGAGACTGGGCTATGGCAGTACCATCGCGTGACAAAGTTGTACCACTGGTTGGCAATATTGACTGTCGACGATACCATCGCTCAGACCACTTGGGAGACTGAGCCTCACGCGATACCACCACCTAGTCTAAGCGGTGTCATTGCTTGATGTGGCTCCAAGCGATTGAATGAGCCATCCAACCTATCCAATTTAGCCTTATTTTGGGCCCAATTGACCCCTAATTGAGTTAATAGGATATGTCCCAAAATTAACTCAAATTAAAGTCCTTACTACGATAATTAAGGCTAAAACAATTATGATACACGTAATCTAAGTTGTCCGGCACATCAATTATTCAACCAAACTCTCAATGAACTTCCAACAAGCTTTCGATGAACTCCCAACGAGCTTTTACTGTATCGTCTGATCCTTCGATGTATCCCCCGATTCATCTGACCTGATGCCCGATTATTGACTCCGGCCCAACTTCAATTCTTCTTTAATCATTTTGTCTTTCTCACGATCATAGTTATTCCTGCATCACTTATCTCAATACATGGATTAAATCATTAATTCACTAATTGATGTCATCATCAAAATATGAATTTTAATAAAAATATTAAATAATATAATAAGCAAAAAGAGTGCATAACATGCCACATATGTCATCACGTGATTGTCTTATAGGGCACCTATAACTAATAGTAATGTCATAGTCGGTAGTAAGTTACTGACTACAACCCATCGACTAAAATCTGGTAGCATACTTCCATCCATGGTTCCACTTGTGTGTACGAAAAACTTTCATCGCCCGCAAGTTGGTGACTAAGAAGGACAAGATAAAATAGATCAGACCATCCGGTAGACAAAGGGCTATAACACAAAATATATATAATGCTTTTATGATCTATGATATTTGATTTCAAAACGAACTCTTGATATCAATTGTAAGCATAAAAAAAAAATTATGTTATTATTATATGAAAAAAATTTAATACTAGAATTAAAATTAAATAATGATATATCAAGATGAAGATTAAATACCTTTTGATGTATTTCAAAATATCTATAAATATGTCATTGTTTGATTCGAAGGAAGCAAAGATATTGATCTATAATAAATATCAGACTAGTATTCACCTTTTTGTTTTATCCTTATAAATGATAATAAAAAAAGATGAGAGTATAATCTATATCTAATTTCGAGATCTTGTTTATTTATAAATAAGAACAAAGGACTTCAAATAAATAATAATGGTAGTCTCTCACATCAAGATCATCTCTAATAAAGAATCTTATCATAATTCATAACCTTAACTAAAATCCAAATCAAAACCTTAATATAAAAGGACCACGAATCTGAATCTAGTAAATAATAGAAGAATTGGCATGAAGTGGCTGCTTCAATAAGGAAATTATATATATATATATATATATATATATATATATGGTAATCAACATACATGTAAAGCCCTAGGTACCACAAAATTGCAGGACTGTTAAGAGAAATATAAATCTACGGCTACTAAAATAAACAAATATAAATCCTGTGCCACTGTTACTATGTGCCACCCCAGTGGAGTTCTAAGTAGTAGTGTATGCATCAACCACGAAAAACAAATATTCATTTATTTGCTCCTTACAGATAAAAATTAGAAATTAGAACATCGTAGAATGACCATCACAAGGAATTGTGAACTTGTTATCAATCTTTGGGTTGCTTGAGAATACTGCAAATGGATCAGAGAACCTATACGAATGACGCATCCTATGAAGCTCATCGAGCTGAATCCTGACTCCGAACCAGATGCGTTTAGATTATCAGCTTCAGGCACGCTTCTTCTTACTATGAGTCAGCTATAACCCAATCTACAATAACAGTGACACAGAATCTGATAAAGAGAGGTTTACCTAATGGTACTAAAAGAAGGGTGGATATAGAAGAAGAAGGAAACTTGGAACAGTGGTTGATGTTTTGCAAAGCGAGGACATTAAAACAAACACATTAAGTGCGCAAGACGTGTCGCCCTGCTTTACCTTGTATGCTTCCGATATGTCACGGCCTCCAAGCTACCGCTTCCTTATCCCTTGCAGCGGATACGAGGTCCGAACTGCTCGGGATGAACCATAACAGCTCTCGATGCTGCATCCATCGAGACGTACCTGTTCGATCTGGCAAGCTCGGCGAACATGCTCCGGCGACGAGCTGACGGACTGTGGACTGGTGCGGACGGATTGTGGAAGAGTTAGAGCAATAAGAAGAGGGGAACCGCGATCTGTCGATGGTATCGCTGAGTAGAATATTCCGATCCAATATCCGCTGAATCGCAGAATATGGAGGGATACGCAGACTAAATTATTTATATTTATTTAGTAACCCAGCTTGCCGACAACGTCGTTGTAGTATAGTGGTGAGTATTCCCGCCTGTCACGCGGGTGACCCGGGTTCGATCCCCGGCAACGGCGTCATAAGTTTTCGTATTTCACCCTTAATTTTTTTTTTTTTACTTTTGCATATTTAATTATCGAAATTGTGACCTTTTGATTTCCCCCCCCCTACTCATACATCACCAAATCGTCATCAGATTCTACTGCAGAAGTGAGCAGGTCAAGAACTCAAACGACGAGCATCACAGGGCTGGAAACAGGTCGATGCAAGAAGTCGCTTTTTAAGGTGGTTGCGGAACTAAGTTATTTAGGATGGGCTTTAATGCTTTGCCTCCACTGGGAGGAGCACATCATGTGCGCTTGTCTATAATTGATAATTGATCCATTTGTTGGAGCAATGCAGTAGCCTCGTATGATTGATTGATTGATTGCTTTAGTCGTGTTGTTTTCTGCACCCAGCAGTATCGGCATTGCTGCGTGCAGCCCACGGCGATTCCATGCCAATTGACATCCGACCGAAGCGTTCGACGCAGTTATTTCCCCCTTGATCTTGTAGCGTGCAATCGAGACAGCATCCGAACGCCGTTGGTGGACCTTTTCTGGTGGCCTTATCCTTGGTCTCCAGCAAAGCCAAGTTACTCCCATTTGACCCGCTACGGAAAGAGTATCCTCATCTTACGGAATCCTCAAAACGGAGGGAGGGTGGGCGGTATGATGACAACATCTGCCGCCCTGTCTGTCACCCTTCATCCTCTGCGACAGGGAAAAGAAAATTGCAAAGCAACGCTTCTCCCACGGATCTTTGCAGAGACACGCCTGCCGCTGCACATGTATCACACTTGGGAGTCGTCGGTCATATACAAAAGGAACTGACTTCTCCTCCCTTGCTTTCCATCTTCTTTTGCTCAAGACAAATTTACTGTATCAAAAGGGAGAGAAGAAAAAGAGAAGGAGACTGTAGAGAGCACGCACAAGGAAAAGACACGGTTCACTCTTATCATCCATCATTCGCTTCGTGATCCGATGACCATAGTAAGCTCTCATCAGGCTGTGCTCGGGAACAGCCCACGCTCCGTCGCCTCATACGAGCGAGATGATTCAGTATCAGAGCAGGACATCATCAGCCACTCCTCCCCCCCCGGACAGATTCTAATCCTTTGTTGACTGGCATATCTCTGCCGTCACGTGATCTCGCTGCAGATGCGTGTAATGGAGCCCAAGATTATATAGTTTATCTCTTCTTCTTTCTTTTTTTTTCTGGTTTTTTTTATATATTTATGTCCCTCATGGGTCTATATATCATATGCTCTTCTACAAAATATTTGTAGACCTTAGGACTAAAGGATTGGATGTTAACTTATGCGGGGCACACAGCAAAATGGACGGCTGACGTTGTTGTCGCATTGAAACGTGCGGTCGGATATGTAACGGACTCTCGCTTTGGGTGGTTGAGGTCTCATTGAAGGCTCCAATTTTTTCGGCCCCCTCCCTGCCCCAGCAAATCGAACACATGACACGACTACCTACCGCTGCAGAGGAGTCGCGAGCCCAAAGACAAGCAAGCAGGGCACACTGCCCTTTTCGCGTGAGCTTTTTAAGTTAGCCCCTCTCTTTCCTCCCTCCTTCCCTTCCTCCAAAAGCTAGCCTTCAGAAAGCGCGCCATGGAGCTCTTCAGGCTGCTCGCTCATGCTGGCGAACACGGTGACGGCGACCCCTCCCCGGCTACCGAGCCCGCCGACACCACCATCGCCGCCACGGTCCTCTGCTCGGACTCCGATGACGGCGGCGGGGACAGCGAGGACGAGGGCCCCTTCTTCGACCTCGAGCTCACCCCTCCGATGCAGGAAGACACGGACCACCATCGAGAGAACCAGCAGTCGTCCGACGCGGAGACCGAGGACGAGGACGGAGCGGAAGAGTTCGACCTGGAGTTGTCCCCGGATGGAGGAAGGTACGGCCGCGGCGGCGGCAGCCTCCGGCGCGACCCCGACCTCTCGTTGTCCCCCTCCGATGGACTTTTCTTTAAGGGCCGCCTCGTCCCGCTCGAGCCCTCCTCGTTGACGGACTTCGCCGCCTCCGAGGTGGCTAAGTCGTCCAAGTCCCAAGTCCCTGCTTTGCTCAAATCCGCCGCCAGGGCCCGCGCCTTTAAGCTGAGCTTCCACGGGAGGTCGAAGTCGGCCTCGATGGAGCCCAACCCCGTCTCCTCCCCCGCTGCGACGTCCTCGCCGCCGAAGCAAAAACATAGAAACAAGTTCTTCGTCAGGTTCAGGGTCGAGGCGGCCCCGCCGGTGCCCCTCTTCGCCAGGGACAACAGCTCGAGGAGCTCCAGCAGCAGCAGATCGGCCATGCTTTTCGCCAACGATGGATGGCCGGCGTCGGACGACAAGAAGCTCCTCAAGGACGTGCTCCAAAGGTATCTTAGCAAAATTAAGCCTTTTTACATCAAAATCTCGAAACGGTACGGCGAGAAGCTCCGGTTCTCCGGGCCGTTGAGCTCAAGCAGAGCCATGAAAGTGCGGCCCGCCAAGGAAAGCGGAGGAGACCAGCTGAAAGAGACGGTATCAACGTGGAGCAGCTTTAGTGGGTCACTGAAGTCGCAAGATGAGAATATCCCGGCGGGACTGAGGGTGGTCAGCCGGCGACTGAGGAAGAGCCGGTCGGCGTCCGCGGCCGTCGCCTCGGTTCGCTCGCCGCCGCTGGCGACCGGAAGGCGGGACGACTCGCTCTTGGAGCAGCAAGACGGAATCCAAAGCGCCATCGCTCACTGCAAGCGGTCATTTAACAGAGGTACGTATAAAGCTTCCGAATCCGGCCATGTTTTAAAGCGTTTATATACAATCTTAGAGAAGACCGGGTTGACTCGGCGTGCAGGGTCGGAGTCGCCGCTGATGCGATCGAGGAGCGATTCCGGCGACGGGAGATCGTTGGAATCAAGCAGCAGCAGCAGCAGCAGCAGTAGCAGCAGCGGCGGCGGCGGCGGCGACGTTTGAGCATCGTCCGTTCGGGTTTTTATTAGAACGGAGGTGGAAATTAATACGCATAAAGGAGAACGAAATGGTTTGGTAGAGCTATTCCAGATTTGGTTTACATCTCTTTGTAAGGAGAGGCACCGAGAGTTTCTTTTAGCTTTTGTGAAGTCATCTCTTCTGCCATATATATTTATATTTATATATATATATATAGTTGTATCTGCGAGTTTGTGTGATGAGATGCAGTGACAAATCGTATATCAGTGTGGGTGCAGTTGACTGTTCGTTCGGTGAAAAGAAATCAAAGACGCGGAGGTGTGGACGGACGATGAAGATGAGGAAGAAGACAAAGGTTTTGGAGGACAAAGATCTGAACGAGTCTTGTGAGTGGAAGACCGTGCCTTAGTTTCTGTTTTTTTATAACGCGGCCGCAGTCTTTTTCTTTTCTCTGATTTCTTTTTGGTCTCTCTCTCTCTCTCTCTCTCTCTCTCTGTCTCTCTCTCTCTCTCTCGCTCTCTCTTTCTCCGTTGCGAGTGGAGGAAGAACAAAGGTGACACAATAGTGCAACACGAAATTGCCGGCTTTTTCTCTTCCAGCGAAGGAGTAGAGGCGGACAAAACATTAGCGTCCATCCATCAGTTTTTCCCCCAAAAAAAATCTCTTTTTCTGATTTTTCTTTTTTTAACTTAAAGTACGAATTTTCTATCACCACTATTTTTTTAATCTGAAATAGCTCTGGTTATTTATCTTTTTTTTCTTATAGATCAATACAGAAAAATATTATAGTGTTATTTTTAATAATGTTTTTATAAAAGTATGAATCAATCTAGACATAATATTTTTATATGATATTGTATTGTTTTTAATAATTAATATTAGAAACATTATTTTTAAGTATTATGTTAAAGTGTTATATTATTTTTTAAGCATTATTAAAATATTATAAATAGATCGATTTTCAATCTATAGGAGAAGGAAAGAAAATAAATGTTTTTAGAGAATTTTAGAAATGCGAGGCATTATTGTTCGGGAAAACCCAAAAAGAAGGGTTTGTTCTGCGGATTTACTTCTTTTTTTTTTTCCTAAGAACATTTTATGAAAAGAAATCTTCAGATTTTTAGGTTCTATTTTTTAAAAAATGTTTTGCATGGAACTTAAAGCGCTGTGGGGATCAAAAAATCCTTCTTTAACAACCATCATTAATATTATTTTTTTTTATCGATACGCAATTGATTTGGAGCAATTATTCAATCAGATTAATATGGTATTAATCCAATTATAGTTACATGGTTTTTTAATAGATTAAGACAAAAATATATCTTAATAAAGAGTTTTCAAAGAGTGCGAATGCTTATTTGAATATAAATATATTTGCTTTAATCATCAAATGGTAATCAAGTTTCAATTTTGGAACACTGAGATGGAAATATTTGCAGGCCATGAGCATGCATGCAGGAAGCAGAAGACCCACCACCGTATGTTTGTTCAAAGTGGCATCCCCACCTTCCATCGTATCCCGTCCAAAGGAGAGAGAGAGAGAGCGGCAGCCTGTGGCAGACTAAAGCAGCGACAAAGAGGTGCGGATGTGGGGGGGAAGGAGCAGGCGAGAGAGAGAGAGAGAGAGAGAGAGAGAGAGAGAGGGAGGGAGTATTCATCCTTTAATTAATTGCGTGGTCAGCGGAAGCAGCGAATCCGATGCTCGCCTTTTGGAGTGCTCGCGTGATGCTGTGCTTCTTTTGTCAGGTAAGACAGCATCAGATTCTCCCTGCGTTGTAGTCCGGATGGTGTGATAGCTTGTCGTCACACCGCAATTGTTTGACCTCGTCCGACTTCATCGAGTTCCATGCTTTCTTGGACGACGCCAGCTGAGAGTGAACTCTGGCTTTGCGATGCATGGTTCACGGGCGGTGTGCCAAAAGATTCGCGGTAGGGTTGCTGATCTGGATTCAGTACACCAAGTGTTTGATGGAATGGGAGAGAAGACTATGGGTTGCATGGAGGATAGATCGTCCTCCTCTCGCTCTGAATAAATTAGATACCATATGGAGTGTTCCTTGTGTTGGATTGTCAAATAGCTTTAGTGGTGAAGACGTTGAGGTAGGAAGAAAGACTCGTGTGTCTTCGTTGCGGTGGTGATTGGTCTCGTGTTCAAAGTTTCTTCGCCAAGCTACTGCTTTGGCGGCGTCCACGAATGGATAACCCCAAAAGTCAAAATCGTTGAGCTGCTCTCCTTTCGGACAGACATAATTCTTCAGATTGCCTTTCGTAAACAACAAATAATCTCTTCCATGATATGATGCACACACCATATTCTAACTCTTATCTACCATGCATTGCTTCGCAGCTGGAACATTTATTGCCAGTAACAATTAAGCGCTACCCAATCCATGGACAAGAGATGCAACGATTAATCTTCAGCTGACGTTGGCGGAGCAATCCGTGTTCTTGAATCCATGAAACGTCGTCGACAACTCCAAGGTCATGCTGCAGTTCAACATCACTTCGATGTCGCGCTTGTACACGCCCAGCACGTTCACCCTCCCCTTGATGTCCGTGAAGCTCGTCAGGTTCAGCTCGGTGCCGGCGGTCCACGCCTCCGTGGTGATGTTCATCTGCTTCACCACTCTGTCGGTGAGCACGTCCACCGTCACGTTCATCCGCGCCGTCCGGTGGGCCGACACCTTCCCCTGGGGCGCGTACGCCACTCCCACCGTCTCCCCCGCGTAGTAAAAGTCCGTGGTGCTGTTGTCGAACCGGAAGGACGCCACGTTGGGGTTCTTGATCGAGATGTCGGCGACGAGCGTGGCGTTGAACAGCACCAGGTTGTCGAGCGTGCCCGGCCCGACTCGGAAGGTGTCGAGGGTGAGGGAGTTCATGGTGAGAGTGGGATCCTTGACCTTGAACACGGTGAGGGAGAGGATGAGGATGGTGATGCCGAGGATCACGACGGTGGCGCCGCAGCAGCCGCAGCAGCACAGGGCGCACCGCCGCTTGTGGAGGTACTGGATCGAGCGCCACCTGGAGGCGGCCTCCTCGTCGTCGCCGACAGGGACGATGGACGGCGAGTGCAACATGATCGGCTTCACCTGCTCCTCTTCTCTCTTCCCTGCCATGATTTGGTTTGACCGCCGGTGGAGGCAGAAAAGATGAGTCAGCCTTTCCCGTTACCGCTCTCTTCTTGGAAGGCAATATATGAAGAGGGCGTTGCAGCAGTTGGAAGTCCTATCTTGTTGCCGGACGGGTCACGCTCCACTGTTGACTTGACTTTTGAGTCATATGCGACACGGCGAAGCATTTCGTCCAACATATAAAATCTTGCCGTCTATGAACAAACGAACGCATAAACGAGTGATTCTTCTTTGGAATCTGACCGATTCCAATGCCACCGATGTGCGGATGCCACTGATTACGATCACGTAAGCCTGTCGACTGATACTGCTTACTTCGACCGGTTTTAGACGTCCAGTGGAATCGAAGCAAGAGGACGACTAGAGCGAGTGAGTTAAGTTAGCGGTCAAAAACGGCAGTCGTTGCGCTTGGTTGAATGAACGCCAATGATCCCTTTCGGGATATGTGCGTAGACTTGGGATCCAGCGGCAAAAGCGATGCAATGGGCAATACACGGTCTTCATGTCGCGGACCATTTTGATGATCTTTGTATGTATCAAACGATATTCCGGTGTGTGACCACACCAAATCATGACCTAAATGAGATAATCCAATAATACTATCATATTGTCATTAATCGGAGGTAGCAAAACTACAGAACAAACGCGTGTTTGGTCGATCGTTCATATAAGATAGATGACGACAAAATTTTCTGCACAGTGCACTCATTGTTACGTCGAATTGCTACACGACTTCGATGGAATCAGTACTCCTATTTTTTCATTTCCATACCATCCGGCGGAGTTCCCTCTACTTTCCTTGAGCCAACATCCTTCCAGTTTGTTGACAGCACGGATCCATTGGATTCCACCTACATCAAATTATAAACGTATATAAGGAAGTCATGTCCGGGAATTAAACTGATGCAACCACCTCAGCCTAGACACTTGTTTCAGGAATAACACAACTGATGGTGCAGCAGATTTTTCCCTATGAACAAAATGGCTCTCTCTCCTCGAGGGACTAGCTTAACACAAAATTGATCCTGGTGATGTTGGCTCTATATTTGGTAGTTCTTGACAAATTTAAAAGTAAAGATCCTGATCATTCACGAAGTTACGACTGAGGATAAGGAAACTATGATCTTACAAAGGACTTCATCATTGCTCGCTTCATATCTTCATCACCACCCTGGTATATGTCACGGAACAGCTTATTCAGAGCTGCATCACCATCTAGCTTCTCCTCTTTCTCCTGAAAGGGACGAGATGAAATGGCAACTGGCGTCACAAGAATAAACTTTCTAACACAGACAAATAGAAGATACTGATAACCTCTTTTTTCACTTCAGATTCCAGCTTATCCCAATCAACTTTGGTTTTCGAGGATGGGTAAGAAGGCCTTTCAGATTTTACATCTGCAAATCCTGCATATAAAATCAACTGCAGATTGAGATAGCTGTGCATTCTAGGTTTCCATTCCACTGCACTTTAGAAAAGGAAGATAAAGCATAAGTCATAACAAAAAGAAATTCAGATGACAAAAGTAGAAAAAAGAAACACAACCAGACTTTAAAAGGAAAAAGTAATACAGAATCGAAACTCATCAATCAACTTGTAAATGAATTTTCTTGTCATCTTAATCTACTGTAGAAATGTCAGTAATTTTAGCAAACACATCCTAAAACTTCCTTTCATAGTTATATTAAAACTAACATATTGCTTTCAGAGGTCTGGTCGTATCAAAGCAATACATGACCGTATCTGGTCAAAAAGTTTTCTGTTGGTCTAATGCTCTTGAATATGTCGATCAGTATCTATGCCATATGCCTTCATAGTAGAACATTTTAGGAAGTGAAGCATGGCCGATCTGAATGCGTTACAAGCAACAACCACATCAGTCAAATGCAATGATAACACAAACAATAAGTGGAGAGAAATAAACAAAAGACCAAAGAATGTCCAAGTACATAAGCACAAAGAAATGACTGCTGTATTAATTAGAGATACGCATCCAAATCAGAACACATGACAAATAACTTTAGCACTAGATATACAATATTTGATGACATATCAGTAATCAGATAACGAAAAAAATATATGCACCGCAAAACAGAAGAGAAAAAGAACTTTAACTACCTGACACATTAACCTTCTGCACAACTTTTTTGTCTTTACTGAATTCCAGTGATGTCCAAGTGATGGCTTCAGCTTTAAAGAGACGGATTTCGATTTTCGAAGAAAAAATTTCATATCTGCATTTTTCTGGTACAATCTGATGTTGAGTCAATGCCGAAAGAAAAATGTAGAATTAGTGACAAGACATCATAAAGGATAATAAGTTACCATCAGATACATTATTCGAACACACTGATTCAAATTGCACTTCCTCGCCACTCAGAAGCATGCTAAAGGAATTACCAAACAGTGGAAGAAAAAAAAAGAAGGAATTTTGTGCAAACTTTTAAGATACTCTAGAATGTCAAACAAAAAATAGGTTCTGGCACAAAATAAAAGAAACATAAAAGCAAGAAACAAAAGAGCCTCAAACAGCCAAATAAATAAAAATGCATATGCTTCATAAGAGACGTGTCATACCACTCGAAGCCCTCAAATTATATTTCTTTAATCTCATCTACTGAGAAGTCATGTGTCATATTACTTGGAGAAAGAGTATAAATAATTAATAAAAAAAAGCAAAACTTGAATTTTAGTTATATACTTTTTGCCGACTAAGAAACTACCGTACAGCAACGTTTGCAGACAACTCCAGCTCCAGCTATGCAGATGCAACTAAGTTTTCCCTTATTAGGAAAGGGACTTTTGTGCGTCCAAAGGCATGCAGAATGGTCGTTAGAGAAAAATCAAATCAGATGGATTTTTGTACAAAAGAACTCAATCAGTAGGAGCCGAATAAAAAACTATTCATGAAGCAATGAATTCTTTGGAAAAGCACCAAGCTGCAACAAACAACGGATGCATGTTGAGTTTCGAAAAGCACACAGGTACATCCTTGATGTCAGGATACAACAATTAAATGCACATTTAGGAGTGCTAGCTTGGAAAATTACCTTGGCAAATAGACGATGTTGAAAGAGGTAAGTATCTTCTCCAGGGATATCAATTGTGACACTTATCTATATGAATGTAACAGGTGGGTCAAAATTATATAGAGGATCAAGTTTGCAAAATCAGACAAACTAAAATAAATAAAGCTTAATACGAAACATACTATCTGTTCACCAAAGTCGATGTTCACATATTTTTCTGGGATGTCCTTTGCAAAAATGGTCAGTACTACCTCTGTAGGAGTATTGTAGTGGTCATGTCTGCATCAGAGCACAAATAAATTATCAGACTTCAATATAGAAAAGGGTTGCTGGCAAGACGGAGATCGTAACAGTAAATATTAAGATATGCGCACATGCACATGTTATGTACAAAATAAACATATAAGATATACAGTATGAGGCTCCTGGATATTACCCAGGTAATACATTGTTCCAGCTACCCAAGTCCTATACTGCTAAGTTCTGAATGTTAGCAACATAAAAAGGTAGAGTTAATCAAAGGTAAATTAAACTAGAAAAAGGGAAGGGAGAATGGCATTTGACTTCTTAGAGGCTCACAAGCAAATTAAATGCCATATCACAATTTAACATATGCTACTCAAATAATGGCTATGCATCTTTTGAAACAATCTACATGCTGCTCGTACAGACTCGAGAGGAACAAGAATGAACACAAAGATCCAACTAAAGAAAAACTTTAACATCAAAATGGAAAACATAAAAGACAAGGAAGATGTATTATATTATTATATGATAAAGTTCCAATGAATTAAAAAAAATTCTAGTCTTAACAGAGCTTCAGAGAACCCTAAATGTAATAAAACTAATACATGGTCTTAGCTTCTCTAGAATTTCATCAACCCAAAAATTAATCACCCTAAATCAATTTAACATGTAATCCTCTATAGCTCAATAGACACTTCCAGTACCAAACTGACTCAGTGGAGATTGTTTCTTACTGATGAATAATGAAAAGAGAATAGCCAATACTCTCTGAACTAAGTCAACATTCCAGATATCTATCAGCGAGAGGCTTGTTGTCTTTAAGTCCCAAAAAGATAGGACCAAAGCAAGTTCATACAGTTTGTGGTTCACCCCAAAATATGGAATCATCCTGGAACTTCCACAAATAGCTTTGCATGTCAAAGAAGAGTAATTTTCAAATAGTAATTGTTAAGGCACAATACATGATTTCTAAACATGCAATCATTAGTTACAACTTATAAGAAAACTATGAATCGTGCTCCAATTCTATTGAACAATGCACATGATCAGGACAATCAGACATGACATGACAACAGAAAAACAAAAAGAACCTCACAGTCATACTCTTCTATTTTCAAGAAGTACCTATATTTTGGCTTGCTAGAAACTTTGACTGACTGATGACAGGATGCGTCATGAATAGGCACAGATTCCTTAGGAGACCCAATACTGCCATCATGAGAAGAAATGACTGCAATTGGTGATGCAGCATGGGCACCTTGTTTTGGCAGACGATTAATCTCCTCTGCAGAACAAAGTACACTGTAGCTATTAGGCCATCTTATGTATATAGAGACATGAAGAATCAAAAAATTATTTACGAAATACCCAGATAACTAAATGCATAATATATTCTTCTTGAAGCCATAGACTAATAATGTTGTAATAGGACAGCCCATGTTCTCAAGTGAAAGAGGCATCAATTTGATGACCTAGTCGAAGCAGTTGGTGTATCATGCATAGTTCTAGCAAGGTACATTTATTTTATTGGACTATCCTTTATCTCCATGAACTGCATAAACCAACACTTGCAGTCCAGAAAATGCCTATCATCTGTGATGGCCAAATTAGCACAACCTATCTCTTTTAAACATAAAATTAATTGATCAATAAACACGGCTCCAACTAACATTTTCAAATCTCTGATAAGTGATATAATAGGATCTTCCTACAAAATCAAGCAGTCTGGAAACTCCAACAAAGTTCAACGCAATTAAGAGTCAGTCTCAGTCTGGAGACAAAATTTCCAAGAACAAAAACCAACAACCACAGATCCAAAATCATGAAGCTGATTCTGAATAATTGGTAATTACTATGAAGTAAGATGCAAACATTATATACACTGAAAAAACAGGCAACTGGGCTGCAAACAAGAAGTATGCACACCAGACCTCTTTGTGTGGTGCTGGATAATTAAAGAGAGCAGAAGTCTATGATGACTCAATCATTGAGCACATCAAAACCATTCTGATAAATCAACAAAACAGAGGATAATATCCAAACTATTCAGTGGATTACTAGCATAACAGTCTAAGATGTCTTCCATTTTGTGCAACGATAATGACTCAGCACAAAGAATGCTAACCTTCACACAAAAGGCAGAACAGGAAATTTCATGCTTTACCAAAGAAAATAAAGTCTGATAGTTAGGACTACAAAGTACCAGCAATATGTTCATCACATTCCTTAATCAGTCTAGTGAATCTTGAATCTGTGGGTGCCAAAAAGAAGCCTGCTTCAAGAGCTGCTTTTGCAGTTTGATATTCTTCAAGCTTGATACAGGCAGTACTGTTAATACACATTAATTTGATTAAAAGAGTAATCACAACAACCCTTCAAACAGATGCAAATGTAGTGCAAATGTTTTATAAAGAATGTCATCACCATATTTGCAGAAGTGAATCAATCAACGTACTGGATGACAAACATAAATAGAAAGGAACACAAATGTCTTTTGTTTTAGATAGATAAGAGATGTAAATTGTAAAAGCAAATCAACAAGGATTAGCCTGGTCATTTTATACCTGGTGCTTCCATCATTATATTAACAAAAACTAAAAGAAATGTGTAATAAAGACATACAGTTAATGACCAATCTTTGTAAATGGAGAAAGTCTAATTTTTCATCTGCTCTAAACAACTTTATAAATAGAATGAATTCAATCGAAGGAACTGATTTTCTTGCACCCTACCCCAAATAATAAAATGGACCCTTAGCACTACCCTCTATTACAAAGAAATTTCCACAGCATGAGTTGGTGAAAACAATCATGTATAAAAACTAAATGAGTCTTTTTACACCTTTTCAGCTCTTAGTTACATAATTGAAGTGCATCACCAAAGAAGAAGCTGCTACCACCTCCGTCCTGAGTTGGGTGCCTCACTTCTTTGTTGGGTCTTGGTACTCTAGTTAATTAAAGAGAAGGTTTGCTATTGCCTCTCATCAGAGTCATTTTCATTAATGTTTTAACAGCAAATTTGGAATACATGCCATGTTGAAGCATTCCACACATAGTTAAAACTCTCGATCAATATTTTCTGCATGTTTTGTTTTTCCACATCATCATTTTCAATATTTTATAGTAATAGTTTTACAAGAGAATATTTTGTCCAAAAAAAAATTGATCTATAACATCCTATTTAGTTTGACTAGAAGTGGGAGAAGACTTAAATGGATTTATAAGAGCTAGATGAGTAGAAAATCAGCATCTTCAGTTTATATATTTTGGGTCAATGATTCAGGCTCAACAAAGTTGACAGGACAGTTATCATAACATAATAAGTTCATTTCCAAAGTCCATTAACAAGGAGTGCAAAAAGCTACCAAAATATAAAAAGGAATTATTCAGTACTTATCTTGGCTTCTCTTCAGAACTACGAAAGTCAAAGGGATCCATTACTATTGTAGTCTTTTATGATGATGATCAACTCATGAGCTTCAACTAAAGATGATTTTGATCAACTCATGAGCTTAAGCTAAAGACTTAAGTTAGCTTTTCCTTGTCTAGGGCTACCACGTTCAAACTTTGTTGGTTTTCTATTGTTTTTCTCAAACATATTCTCCTGGTTACCAAGAGATAACAAACTATAGGTGCAATCTTTCCTATTTACTTGTGTCCATCTATGTACTTGGTTATGTTTCAGTTTCTCTTTAGAGGTTGTCTTCTACATTGTTCATATCTTGGGATTCAGTTTTTTGCTTAACTTCTAGTCAGAAAGATATTCACTGGTTTCAAGTATGGTTAGAAAAAGAATTTGGGGTCGAGATCAGCCCTTTGGAAAAATTTCAGTTGGTATCAATATCAGCAGGATCAAGCAAGCACAAGGCAGAGAATAAAAGCTTAAACAGAAAATAGAAATTTTATTAAAAAATATAAGATTTAGAACATATATGAAAATATGTCTCATATGTAAAATTAATAAGGAACAAATCCACTAAACAGAACTTGAGTTCATTTAGTTTTTATCAGCCATTTTCTTGACCCATTAGTTGATTTTTTGTCCAAACAAGATGTTCGATTTGCGAGGGACCAATAAAAAATGTTAAATGACTCATGCAAGTTGTGAAGACTAGAGAGCTTCTATACAAAAAGTAAAAGAAAATGGGACTCTGGAGGGTTACCGTGCTATGAACTCACCCTTTTCTCAAGTAAGCTTTAGACATTGTAGGAGCCAACTCAATTGCTTTATTAGCATCAGCCACAGCCTCTGGAAAAAGTTGGCATTATCCGACTCTTAGTGCATAATATGCAGCTTTTTGATACAAACTAAATGTATCAGACATGAAAAACGTCTTATGACGTTAGCAGCCAAAAAGCAGTTGAACACCATATGGCTTCATGAAGTTGACAGTAGCAGATTGACAATAACCACGCAATAGGACGCACAATACAAATTCCTAGTCAAACCTTTATTGACTTTAGAAGAGGAAACGGAACACTTAAGACTCAAAGAAAAAGGCATCTATCAATACACGAGCCAACAGTCACCCAATCACAAGGACGCAGCTAAAACGTTCTCTAAGATCGACGACGGGAGGGCACATTTTCGAAGGAGAAGGCATCCAACAATTCAGATCCACACGGGTCAGTCAAGAGGATTCAGGATTAGCTCGGGTACCGCGAATTCAAGGGGGACCTCAAATGTTCTCCAAGATCAAATACCAAGGCAATGAAGGGACGGAGGAGCAGACAGTTACCGGTGAAGTTGTTGAGCTTGATGTTGGCCTGGGCCCGATCGGCGTAGAGATCGGCGTTGGCGGGGTCCAACTCCAGCGCCCGGGTGTTGAGATCAACGGCGAGCTCAAAGTCATCGTCGACGAAGGCCTCCTTCGCGCTCCGTGCCAGATCCGAGGCCATAGAAGCGAGAGGGACGTAAACCGCAAAAGGCGCAGGGTAGATGGGCAGATAGGTAGAAGGAGAGAGGGAGAGGGAAAGGGAAAGGGAAGGGAAGCGAAGCGAAGCGACGCAAGACCGGCGGGGCGAAGGGAGGAGATGTTCTAGAGCCTTCCTGATAAGGGAGAAGACGACCGACTTGGTTGTGGTCTGCCGAGTCAACTCCTCGTGTGGTGGGTGGGGTTCAGGATTAGCATGGGATCAATTGATTCCTCCAGATTATTTATAATTTAATACCATATGAAATATATATATATATATATATATATATATATATATATATATATATATATATATAGTCTTTTATGGTTTATATGCTGTGTACGTGTGTAACCCCATAAGTCAACAATTCCATGTTTAACTTATACCCTTGTAGATGGATTAAAAAAAATGTCATAGGATAATGACATACATACATAAGAAAAAACATTAATATTCTTAATTTTTGTAACCTTTGTGCAATCGGCATGGTTATTCCACTCAGGAAAAATAAAAATTTAGATAGAAGCACAGGTATGGCAATACTACTATGTGTTTTGAGATTACTAACGCAAGTTCGCAAGGGTTATACATGTGAATATACACATTTTTGAAGACTGATATCACTATATCAAGAAAATTCTTATCATGTCACTTATTTTTTCTCTTTTATTTATTTTCTTACGATTAGTGATACAAGTGCATGCGTTCGGTAAGTCCTGATATAAAATGAGCAATTGCTAGCATAAAGTCCAATCTCATCACATCTCCCACTAAAATATGTTCAACCCATTTTTCTTCCAACATCCCTCGCAAACGCGATTGGCCAAGCTCTCGTATTGTTCACGACGAGTTATGGCCTCTCGACATGTCTTCTTCTTCCGTCTTTAGGTTGTTGATCTCCAATCGACGAAGAAGAGCTTCAGTCGTCGTTTGCTACAGGAGATTTTTCTGCCTTTTTAGATAGGAGTTTTGATCTTACACTGCGGTGAAGTTGAGATTGTTGCACTTTTAGCACTAGAGGTTGGACCTTTAGTCAGTTCAGGTGGGAGATGGAAGGGAAATGGTTGTCGAGGTTGGTCGCGGCCGTGGTGTTTGCAGTACTCTGCTTCTTCTTGGCGACGGCGCAGGTGGCCTCGGCAGATCGAGGCCTCAAGCTTATGAACCCGAACATTAATACGATCGCAAGGGGAGAGATGAAGAGGGCTTTGAAACGTTCGCAGCAGGAAGATGGATCATCTTACTCTCACGTTTGGCCGGTAACTTCTTCCTGCATGATCTTCTCCCCCTCGTCACGATCCGTTGTGGATCTTGTTCGCTTCGGAAGAAACGATTACGTTTTTGTGGCTTCTTCACTTATTCTTTGGTCTGGTAGGCTATGAAATTTGAGTGGAGAATTGCGGTGGGCTCCGTGATTGGATTCTTGGGAGCAGCTTTAGGCAGCGTAGGGGGTGTTGGTGGGGGTGGCATCTTCGTCCCCATGCTCACCCTCATCATTGGTTTTGATCCTAAATCATCAACTGCACTGTCAAAATGTTAGTTTCCTCTTCGTTTCTCCCTTCTTCTCCGATGAGTTACCGAAGCATAGGAGTTCTCTGAAACTGGTATTTGCATGAATTGACACCGATTTTAATGGTGCTTGGGTCGCAGGTATGATCATGGGCACAGCATGTTCCACTGTCTACTACAACCTTAGGCTGCGGCATCCGAGTTTAGATGCGCCGCTCATCGATTACCGCTTAGTTATGCTCATTCAACCCACGCTCATGCTTGGAATCAGTATAGGTGTTATTCTCAATGTAATAATTCCTGAGTGGATGGTTACGCTTCTCCTGATCATCCTCCTCTTAGGTAATCTTTACTCCGTCTTTAGGATCACAGCTATTCTGTCAAACTAAAGATTACAAGACAATATCTTTCTCTGTTGCAACTTTGTGGCATATGATGGTAGGGACGTCAGTGAAGGCTTTCATGAAAGGTGTTGAAACATGGAGAAGAGAGACAACCCTTATGAAGGTAACCGTTATTCTTGGCTTAATACTGATCAATGGTACGTGCATACACATCTTGGAGATGTTGATGGGTGATGTGCTTGTTGTCTAATTCCAGGAGGCTGCCAAAGGCCTTGGATCCAACAGTAAGGATGATGGAAATTAAAGCGTCTTATAATTTCCTTTTAGATGGTCATATCAGCTATTCTTGTTTAACTCAGGTAGATCGACACAGTACGAGCACATTCCTCTGTCTCCAAGCAATTCTGACCAAGAAGATGAAGAGACAGCACGAGAGCCAGTGGTAATAATACTTCAGTAGAAGCTGCAGATACACTCGCTAGGATGTAGAACTGTTATACTCAACTATCTGACACCAAAATGCAGGTCCCAGTTCTCCAAAATGTGTGCTGGAGGGAGTTTGGTCTCCTTGTGCTTGTTTGGATGGCATTCCTTGTGTTGCAGGTCACAAAGGTGAGCAGTTTGCTGTGAATACTGTAGATAAGTGACCTCCATGACTAAAAGAACCAAGGTGATGAATGAACTGTGGTCGAAAATGTGTACAGAACTACACAGCTACATGTTCGACATGGTACTGGTTCTTGAACTTACTGCAGGTATAATGATCTATCTCCTTTTTTTCGACATATTAAGCTCTCTCTCTCTCTCTCTCTCTCTCTCTCTCTCTCTCTATAGAGATTGCAAGTATCATGAGTAGGAAACGAGTAATATTCATCGTGCGTGTCAATCTGCAGATTCCTATCGCTGGATCGGCGACTCTGTACGAAGCAGTTAGTTTATACAGCGGGAGGAGGAAGATTTCTTCCGGAAGAGAGGAAGGGACAAAGTGGAGGGTGGCTCAGCTCTTTATTTATTGTTCCTGCGGCGTCGTCGCCGGAGTAGCAGGTGGCCTGCTTGGCCTTGGGGGAGGCTTTATCTTGGGTCCGCTCTTCTTGGAACTCGGACTTCCTCCTCAGGTGAGTAGCAGTCAAACCCTTGCTTCCCGGAAGCTCATGGAATCGACGATATCATAATACTGAATCGGTGGAGACTTGCCAAGGAATCAGATAAATAAGAACACGAAGAAGAATCAATCTCCACCACCTACAGACCACAAGTTTGATGATTGATTTAAAAATTGTTTCTCATGATTGAGATGTGACGATGCATGCAGGTCTCCAGTGCGACAACAACCTTTGCCATGGCATTCTCGTCCTCCATATCTGTCGTAGAGTACTACCTTCTAAATCGTTTCCCTCTCCCATATGGTACTACAACTCATCTTCATGCTCTGCCACTCGATTAGTCGAGTGAAAACAAATGTATTTAGTAAAGCTAAACGTTTCGAATATTGGTGTTCGTTTGGCAGCTGTCTACTTTAGTTTGGTGTCAGCAGTTGCTGCATTTAATGGACAAGTCGTAGTAGGAAGATGGATCGTAGCGATGGGGAGGGTATCTCTCGTCATCTTCATATTGGCCTCGATGATCTTTATCAGCGCACTCTCGTTAGGTAAGCCAACACCACCAGCTACTACGATGTCAGTATTGCGAGTGACTTGTTGTAGTAAAGGTTTCGAGCAGGAACCTAAATTTTGACTGCCATGGAAATGGTTTCAGGCGGGGTTGGTGTCTCAGACATGCTAAAGAGGATTGAAAAGCACGAGTACATGGGCTTTGAGAACCTTTGCGGATATCAACCGTAGCATTCATCATATATAAGAACATTCCAGCTTGCTGTAAAATTGTCACTCTGATGTCTCCCTTTTAATTCATTGTAATAATGCTTTTCAAGGGTGGTAGCAATTCACATCTCTGAACCAAGTGCTTTTGGAATGGGGAATTAAGGCTAGAGGCGCAACAATGAAAACGTGTCGCATGGCGACTTTTGAACAGTTTGGGAGCGCCCACGCTCGTCTTGTCTCATCTTCCTCCCGGGTGGGAACAAACTCCGAGAAATCTGCGTGTACGATTCATTTTAGGCGTGCTGCGCCGAGGACCGGAATTGTTTGGACCTCTTCTTCCGATCCATCACCGCACGCTACCTCGTAAGAAACAAGAGAAGTAAGTCTCATCCTACAACTTAAGAATATCCGATTCAAACCTCGTTGAGTACAGCCAACCAGACGTCATTTCCAATTCTCCCTACCCGCGACGACTTTCCACATGACAACACCACCTGCTTTCCCTTTTGTCAAACAGATACGGCTACGGCGGCGTTCCGCCATCCCACGTCGACATACTTCGGAGGGCAGCAAAGGTCTCTCTGTGGACACAGGAATCTTCCGCCGGTTGCACTAGAAGTTTGACGAGACGAAAGAGAAATCTATAGAAGCTCAAGTTGCAGCGAGTCAACCAACGAGGACCAAGGCAACGACAAAAAGAGAGGAAGTAGCCGATGGAGCAAGTCGGAAACGCCACGCCACACCAGCACGACGATCCCAACGCGGATATAAGGAGTGTCTAATGATCGTAACTATTGACTTACTGGGTGGCCACTCCTGATCACAATCAAACAGCTGTTTGAAGCTGTTCGATCTAATTGAACCCTGCGATTCGTTCGTCCTACAAGAGATGGCCATTCTCATACCTGTGCGTAGTTGAAAGCAACCTAAACCACACTTTTGTAGATATCGTTTTAGCTGGTGTTAGATGGGCATTGGATTCACTGGATCCCGCACCATCCAGTTCGCCAATTCAAAGCGCAGGCTGTACACAGATGCTGCAGTTAAAAATTGTGGGAAAGGATAATATAATAAAGAAAGCAAGCCGAGGAGATAATTAAGAGGGGGAGGTGAGATCATTGTGAAGCTCGCACATGTGCCGGATCGCATCGCCTCAATAATGCAAGGCCCGGGCTGCTATCCATAATATTATAATCGGAAGTTTAGGTGGAGTTATTTGCCCCCCACATCCCTCCGTCTCCCTTCGTCGGATGCAGTCATGGAGAGCACCTCGCAGATAAAAGTCTAGCACAAGCGACATAGCTTTTATGTGATTTTAATACGATGGATGGGTGCGTGCTATGAGTTTTAAAACCGCCTCCGTCTGTCCCCATTTGCACCCCCCACCAAACACCCTATGCCTCCCTCTCTCTCTTCTTCCTCTTCCTCTTCCTCTTCTAGTATTGTACAAAGCTTCTTCTTGTACGGTCGGAGGACGTGAGCGAGTGCGTGCTCTGGATCAAGGATCGAGAAGACAATTGGTAGAGAAAACTATATTGCTTCTTCTCGGATTGTGATGAACGGGAGCTGCAGCAACGAGCTCGACGCATGCGAGACCGAGGAGGTCGAGATCGCATCCGAGATCAATGATGCGAGGCCGGGATCGCCTGGATCAGGCGATGACTCGAAGCCCGTACACTCTTTGGGTGCCTCCACTTCATCTCCCTATCCCAAGAGAAGGTGGATCTTCATTTTCTCCAGCTACTCTTTGATCCTCGTTTCGTGCCCTTCTTAGTCCCTTTAGTTGCTGGCATTAAATTCGGCTCATAAATGAACAGCCGGCGAGGAGTGCAGAAGCGGGTGGTGACGGTACCGATCAGCGACTCGAAGGGCGCCGGCGAGGGGGCTCCGCCACCTGATTCGTGGACCTGGAGGAAGTACGGCCAGAAGCCCATAAAAGGCTCGCCTTTTCCCAGGTATGAACGGGATTTGCAGTAAACTCCTCCGCCTCGGGGTGGAGGCGCACTGGAAGATGGATCCAAAGTCGTGACTTATGTGGGACGTGCAGGGGCTACTACAGGTGCAGCAGCTCCAAGGGGTGCCCGGCGAGGAAGCAGGTGGAACGAAGCCGCGTCGACCCAACCGTTATCGTGGTTACCTACGCCTTCGACCACAACCACACCTCGCCGCTCCCCAAAAACCACCACCACAAGCACGCGGCAGCCGCCGCGCAGCCCGTCGAGGAGCAGCCGCTCACGCCACAGCTGAACCAGTCCGGCACGCCGGACTCCGCGGAGCGCGACGAGAAGTTCTCCGACCTGATCACCGAGGAGGAGTCGGCGTTCACGGTCCACGCCGGCGGCTGCTTCCCATGGTTCGCCGACGTCTGCTCGGTGCACCCGACCTCCCCCTCTGCGGCGGACTCCGACGAGTTGCTCTACGGCTCGGTCCTCTTTGCCGGTGCCGCCACTGGCGCAGCGCTGCCCGAGGAACTGGAGGAGGCCGCAGGGGGCGGCGGCGGGGGTGACGACGACTCTCTGTTCGCGGGGCTCGGGGAGCTGCCGGAGTACACGGTGGTGCTCCGCTGGGGGCTAGCATCGGCATCGTGGGTGGGGACCGCTGGGTGACCACTTTGCCGTCGATTCGATCGAGGGGAATAGCCGGCATTGACGTATATAAATTGTCTTCTTCCTGATTTCTTTTCCTTTTTTTCTTTAGGTTCTTTATTTTTACCTTCACATTGACGACTCTAATAATAAATTCTTATTATAACATATATATATATATATATATATATATATATATATATATATATATATATATATA